ACCACTTCTTCGGGGAAATCATATCTCCTTAGTCTCTAAAATATACAAAATATTATCTTTTATTATAGCAAATGTACTGGATGTTTTATTCATTACGCATACGTTATCTAATCGGTAATAAACCCGAGGTATAAGCAGGTCATCACTCAATTCATAGACACCTAACGTGAGTATTAGGCAAACAACTAATGTTTTAATCGCCAATCTCTTGGTAAACCGCATGTTATAGTCATACACGGGTTAGACCACGATGTTATTGTGGCACACAATCGACAGGATACTTTAGTTTTTAACACAAATTATAAATTAATAATTCACTCAATGAGTTAAGAAAATTGTATTTTAAAAATACATTACACAAGTCAATTAACATACTGTATTACAGTTTTTTCAAATTATTTTTTTAAAAAGTTGTTACACATTATAAACGTATACACATAATGAAGTTAAAAACTATACTGTTACAAATAATCATAAATATTCCGATTATTTATATGGTAACATCTCTTTTGTACTTGAGATTAATTATACTTATATTTTATTGGTTTAAAATTATCAATTGCCAAGGTATTGTAAGTTACAATAGATTAGAAGTCTAAATGAAATATTGGTATTTTAGTGAAGTCTGAATTATATCAAAAATTAATTAATACATCACTTTTGTAATAGAAAACTTTTTAATATAAGTACACTAGTATAAATTAATTCAATTATATTAATAATTAACATTTTTCCTAAATAATTTCACTTTATTTATTTATAAAATCTTTTTTCATTCTGATAATTTGAAACCTTTAAACTTTGTTACTTAACTTATTGCATATGAATCATAAGTTTTGATAAATAATAAAGTTATTAGGCAATTTTTTACAGTACTAGTATTGTATAACTTTGTAAACATGCAAGATTTATTATAAATTAAATATCATTTATACATCATTAGGGTAAATAACTTACACATAAACGAATAGCATTTCTTAGCACAATTAGAAAATTAATTAAATGTTAATTGCACTAAGTACTAAAATAAAATAGTCACACTAATATAAAATATCAAATACACTGTGCATAGTAATATGCAATTATTTATTTAAATTTTCTGTTATAAATACATTTTGAGTTCATTTTATGGATTGAGATGTTTTAGAAATTAAATGACATAAATATTTATCAAATATGTGTCTAAAAATACACTGAATTATAGTCGGTTTGAATACTGTACATACCTGATAACACTTTGAAAGTTTTGTTTAGTCTTATAAAACAAATATACAAAATCGTCTATTATTATAAATCGCAAGCATTGAGTTACATTTTACATATCCATGTAATCATTAAATAAATTCAGTGAAGTGCTTCAAAATCTCATCAATTTTTGTTTGTTTTAATCATTATTTGCATTCAATTTACTTTCAATTAGTTGCCAAACTATGAAACCAAACGAATAATTAAATGTTTTTTCATATCATTTAAGTTTGCATTTAATTAGCGTTTAGTTTGTCTTTAAATATGTGTTTAATGAATAGTTTAATCGCAACCCTATTGTCAGTGCTATCACTGGTGGTGACCATCGAGGGTCAGTTCAATTGGCAGACTAGGGATTCGTTCGATGAGATCCGCAAACAGTTGGACAAAGTGGTGGAAGACAACTGCAAAGTGATGGACATCAATGAGCTCTTCCTCCCCCAGTCATCCGTCACTCACATCCCGGACCTCAAGTGGTTGGGCATCGATCCCATCTTCCCCAACAGGACCAACCTCTTGCACATCCACAACATGGCTCTCAGCCGTGCCTTCTATCTCAGGTATACCTCAGTGGCGGTGATCATCGCCTGTCACTCCGACAGTCATCAGCCAGTTCTGAACTGATCCATGGATTGTATGTCTTATGTCTTGTCTCTGTGTTTGCCATCAGTTATATCCTGCAGAAGGCTCCGGACGACTCTGAACCGGGTTTTATGTATTACTTCTTGTCGGCGATCGCGGACGTGGCGGCCAATCGCTATATCAACGCCAGTAGTATATACTACGGGCCGCACATGGCGTTCACGCCCTCCTATAAGGGCTTCTTCAACAAAACGATGCCTCTGTTCGCCCCGCGAGCCTTCAGGGCCGACCACTTGAACGACCCCTACCATCTTGAGGGCACATCCACTCTCAACACCATCGAAGCCATCGATTTGGGCGCCATTCAGAACAACTCCTTCAGCACTAACTACACCCACGAACAGTATAAGATCAACGAGTGGTACAGACTATGGCTGCCGGA